CTCTTTTCCAGGACCATTTTTCCTCTCTTGAGATCTTGAGCGGATTCTTGTGGTTTTGGCCACCTTTGGTTCCTCGGATCCACCTTGTGGACCTCGTGACTCACTTCGTTTTCCCGCCGGACAATCACGTCGGGAGTGTCCCCTTCCAGAACAGTTGAAACATCGGCCATCTTTGGAGTCCAGGACAGTGTGCGTGAATCGGCACCGGTCAGCATATTGGCATCCCTTATCTGTCAGCCAGTTGATGCACGCAGTCTTGTGGACCACATTAGCCGCGTTAATCGGCAGCTCGGGCTTTTCTCCCCTCCTTCCGGTGGAAGAACCTGCTGCGTCTTCTGGTTTTCCCTTTGAAGCGCCCTTTGGTGGGTTTCCAGATGAATCCGGCCCACTCATTGACTTCACCCCTACCACATTATTGGGTTTAGCCGCTGGGCCCTGTGTTATGTTCCCCGGTTGACGGAGAGCCATTTCACCAGCTTCAGCTTGAAGAAGTTCAGAAAACGTTCTGATCTCTTGCATTCCCGGCCGGAGATCTATGCCCAAATGCTGTCTCACCGAAGACAACCGGTAGGCAGCTTGAGCTCCCCCCAATCTGGCCAAGGCATCACTCATTTTTGCGACCACTCCGGCCAAAACCAGAGGATCGGGCAAAACCAATTGAAGTTCTTCGGCACGAACCACCCATCTTCTCCACTTCCGGATGGAGTTGACCATCTCTGCAGCATTATTAGATGGACATTTCCAGTCCACCAACATTTGCAGCAGGGCAGTTCTTTCCACTTGTCCCCCAGGTTGGAAGACGGTGTACAGCTTGAACATGACTTGACCCGCTGACATGTGTCTGTTCGCCACAAGGTCCTCGTAGATGTCCTTGGGGACGGCTTGAAGCAGCATACCCACCACCCGTTTCTCTGTGCGAGGCCACCTACGGGCCATGTCAGGTATCACAGGCGCCATCCGGAGCCTCATGAGTGGATCCGCTTGCAACCAGTGGTGGTATGCTTGTTCAACAGCAGTCATCACTACTTCCCACCATTGCTCTGAGGTGTAGCTCACATCCCCAATCATCTGTTGGGCAACTGTCAGCCAGTCTCCAAAGTCCAAAGATGTTGCATTCCTGTCCAGCTTCGGCAATTCGACCGATCTTAGCGTTTCGCCTGGTACTTCTCCCCCTGCCTGAGGTCCTGCTTGGACTACAGCTTGTTGTTGTTGTGGCGGTGCAGCTTGTCCTGGATTTCCTTGATGACCACCTGGGAGACCGGGATTTCCCTGATGACCACCTGGCGGACCAGGTGCTTGTCCGGGATTTCCATACTGCCCTGGCGGTGGACCCCCTGGCCAACCATAACCACCCATAGGTCCGGTGTTTCCTCCCGGAAATGCAAAAACCCCTTGAGGTCGATGATCTTGTCCTGCAGGTGCTCCTCCAACATGGACTTGAGGATTATACCATTGATTAGGTTGGTCACCGATGAAAAAGTGTTTTGTGTTTTCCGTGGCTCCCATGCAAGGAACTCCCATCGGTGGTCTTGACGCCGCTCTCTGCGGCATACCTCCCGGTGGTATTCCAATTAGCCACCCTTGATTCATATACACATCCATCGGCCGAAAACCTTGTTCGACCTTGGGCGCAGGAGGAACATTCCACAACTGACCTCCCGCCTGCATTTGAAGATCTTGATCATGGTGATGTTGAACTCCTGGAACTGGTTGATCTTGCACATGTTGTACCTGGGGTGGAACACCACAGGAAAACCCTGCTCGACATTCTTCAGCTCCGGCGAGGCGGTTTGATAAGACCCCCCACTTGACTGAGAGCCCTTGTGACCTCCTCCGGCTTCTCGGACCCGTTTCTCTTCCCGCGTGGCTAACCAATTTTCTCGATCTTGTTGGATCTCGGTCTTGCCCCGTTGAAAGAATTCCATCATTTGCTGTTTCAACTCCTCATACTTTTCCTTCTCCCTCGCGTCCGCCTGATCAATCAGGTCTTGCGACACTATGGGATAAGTCAGCTCTTTCACTGGAGTTTGTGGACTGCTCATTAGAGCTTCCACTCGCTTGGCAGCACTCCATGGATTCGTTTCCTCTGCAGCCATGACCCCGGTTACAATCCCAGGATCCACAACCGCCGTTCCCCACTGAGGCACCATTCCCGTAGGTGGCACTCCAGCACACATGGATTGCTGGGACATCCCAGCGACTTGCGAACCCTGTGTTCCACCAGTTGCGGTATACACCACAGGTGCTCCCGCTGGCTGGTAGATCACAGGTGAGCCTGTTGGTGCCGCTGGCACCGATTGTTTGACGCGTGCATCTTCAGGAGACTCAACAGGTGAACGTCCCGGTCGCTCCAAAAGAGCAACGGTTTCCACAACAGCAGCCGCACCTCCACTCACTTCAGTTGAGCTTTGGTGTTTTCCACCCTGTCCTTCTTCTCGATTACCCACAACAGGTGGTTCACGAAATCCCTCAGACATCCGGGCAACTACTGGTGTTTGTGTCATAGGCACTCCCGAAAGAGTTAGACTATTCACACCTGGGGTCAAACCAGACAACAGACCGCCACTCCCATTTCCTCGTACCACTTCAAGTCCAGGAGGTTCTTCAGGTGGTAAGGACACTGGTCTTGCGACTTCTTCCGCAACAGCCGGATTCTGGGCGATTCGTTCGCCCGCTCCAGCCCGGACCGCCGCAACCTGCACTAGGGCTCCACTTCCCCCAGCACCGGTCAGTGCCATCACACTTTCTCCAACTTCCCCTTCCATCAGTGATCTTCGGGTTGAGTCTGATGATCTTGTCCCTGTTCTTTCCCCATGTGCTTGTCCAGGTGCGTCCATCTCCTCCAGAAGCCGGTCCAGCATTTGGTCTGCCGTTTCCGCGCGTTCTTCTTTTCCATGTCCATGGGTCCCATGTTGTACTTCTTCAGCATGAGCAGCCGCTTGAACTTGGCGTTCTTGTCGACGACGCTGAGTGAAGTCGCTGCTCGACATTGCTTCAAGGCAGCGTTGGGGTTGGGCTCATAACCCACGGGTTTCAGACTATGACCGAGACCCTTCCCGGAGGTCCCCACCAAGAGGCAGATGCAAGTGCACCTTTTCACTCCAAGTTGGGCTCGGTAAATTGAGCCAGTCAGTTGATTGGCCCTTGAGCCATGTTGCAACAGTCGGAGGACGTCTCAACGACTGTGAAAACTTTAAAAAAGACCTTAGTGGGGGTGCAGTGGTACTCTGTGCATGTTTCCCAAACCGCAGAATCCAAATGAAGACGACTTCTGCACTTCCTGGCTACCTCATCTTCCTCCTCTGGGGCGCGGCCCCCTTTTGACATCGGCACAGCCATGGCCACTTGCTTTCCAGCTCCTCCGCCCTTTTGCACTGGCAGGCCACCGTGCGACATCAATGCCGTCACTTATCCAAATGAGTTCTCCACATGGTCTTCATCCAAAGCGGGCACTGGGCAGCGTGCATTGGGCTTCATAACCTGTGTAACATGATACTCTGCCCACCCATACCACTGAGCATAGTCACTATCCGACTACCTCTTGTGGCATGACGCGTGCACCCTAAGGGCCGTGCACCTTACAATCCGCAGTATCAAATCAACTAACATGACTATGGGGTCAATGGGTCAAGCCATAGTCATGTGCCTGAATCGACTTTTTCAAGTGCTGAAAAAACTGGTCATGTTGGGGGGAGTCGGCCCCAAGCCACCCGTTCCGGGCGTGGTTTTCATCCATCTCAGCGGGTCATGATTTTCCATGTTTATGCCTACGGCAGGAAAACCGTACGTGCGTTTTGCTTCTTTTTTGAGTATTGCTCTTTGTCTTGGGGTTGGGGTGGGGTGGGGTGGGGGGGCATGTTAACGTTCCTTGTACTTCGTACATGATATATTGCCATGTTGCTAAGATCTCTGGGATCTTTTACTACGTTACGTGTTGCTACGCTGCTGAGATCTCTAGTGTGGGTTGGGGTCGGGGTGGGGTGGGGTGGGGGGGCATGTTAACGTTCCTCGTACTTCGTACAGGATATATTGCGATGTTGCTAAGATCTCTGGGATCCTTTACTACGTTACATGTTGCTACGCTGCTGGTATCTCTGAGATAGTTTCCTACGTTACATGTTGCTACGCTGCTGAGATCCTTGGGACTTTCTTACTACGTGACATGTTGCTACGCTGCTGAGGTCTCTGGGATCTTTTACTACGTTACAGGTTGCTACGCTGCTGAGATCTCTGGGATCTTTTACTACGTTACAGGTTGCTACGCTGCTGAGATCTGTGGGATCGTTTACTACGTTACATGTTGCTACGCTGCTGAGATCCTCTGGGATCGTTTACTACGTTACATGTTGCTACGCTGCTGAGATCTCTGGGATCGTTTACTACGTGACATGTTGCTACGCTGCTGAGATCTCTGGGATCGTTTACTACGTCTGATGCACATGATGTTTACCTGGATTTGTTAAAAATCAATGAGTTTTGCATCCACTTTTTTTAACCCAAATTCAGTTATCCAAACTGAGCGGAAGAGCATTTTATATTGTAAATTACAGGTGATTGTGACTCTCCTGGAAGCAACCAATCAAAACGCTCGCGCGGTTTCCCTTCCGCCGGGATGTTTATCATTAGACAATCCTAACCCTTCAGGATCAGTTCTAGATGTGTATATAATTGTGTATATATATATGTATGATTATGTATGTATATGGCTGAAATATATTTCACTAACCTGACAAATCTGATAATAGCTGTTCTCATACAGCCATTTGGGGATGATTCCCTACATACAAACCATCATTCCAGTGACGTTACGACGCCAAGTCATTCCAATTCATCCAGATATGCATACGCATACATGACGTATTTTCGCACGCACTATGTGTACTAACATACATATATATATATGTATATGTCTACATATGTACATATGTGTTATATATATATATTGTGTTATATTATATAGTATATACGTAGGTTTACCCAAATCTCTGGCTGCAAGGAACTCAGGACCCAGCCGAATCCTGCCTCATCGTCAACGCCGAGGCCGGGCGTGTGGGCACCGGGGTTACTTGCTCCAGTTCGGGCCTGAAGAGACACTTTCCAAATGATTGATGGGGTTTCTGGGATATTTATGGGATATTTATGGGATTACCCTCTGGTAAACTAACAGTTTGCGAACTGGAATATCACCGTGATTCATAGGTAAATCAACTATAAATGGGCCATGTTTTTTGTTTTGTCTATGTTAAATTACCAGAGGGTACAGCAAAAACATATATTCCGAACCCATCAAAAGGTGTGTTGCAAGCTCATCCTCACTAATGGGAAAAAATAGAGGCCTGTATCTCTGGCCGGCCCCAGGGCTTATCATTTTGCTTGGATAATCTTTGGAGCTAAGTTGGAAAAGATTGGTACCCTCTGGTGAACTAACATAGCAATGGAAAATGGCCATTTATAGTGGATTTTCCCATTAAAAATGGCGATTTTCCATTGCTATGTTAAATTACCAGAGTGTAAATAAACAAATGGAACTATACAGTGCCACTTTTTGTTGGCTCATTCATGCTGATGCCACATTGAAGAGCCGGTTGAATCCCCAGTTCTTGTTGGTAAATTTCCACATGGTTGTTGCTTAAAGGGAAAATTCTTCAGTAATATCAATGGGATACTAACGTTGTATTATACACATATAGATATATATATATTATATAGCTATCAATAATTGGAGAATAACTGCTTACATAAATCCACATTTTGTTTGTTTAAATCCTTGAAAAGATCGGCCATGTTTTTGATAGATGTCATCCCATCGCCATGTCTTTGGCGTCCGCACTCGGTCAAGTCCTCCACTTCAAGCTCCACCATCGGGAGTTTGGCACGCTGGGACTCCACCTACAGCGCTGGCGGTGACTTTTCGAACGGTAATGTTGAGTAGCGAACGGGAAAATCATCATGTTGACATGTTGATCATCTTTTTCGAGCCATGTTTCCATAGCCAACTGTTCAATAAAAGGAAGGTAAGTTTTAATCACCAACAAACATGTTTTTCGAGGGGCTTATTGGGACACACACATGTTTAGCTGGTGAAATCCTCCGCAAAAACCGCCCAAAAAGGAGGTGCCAAATATATAGTTTGTTGGTTTCTTTACAATGGTTTATACCATGATTTCAGGAAAACATTATTTTTTAGCTCCAAATAGTTCAGGATGAAACCAATTTTACGTTTTTTTACTGGAATGAGAAATAATTCTAGGAACTAAGCAACTTTTGTCGCTGTGTATGCCATGTTGCATGTTGGTATGGGTCACATGGGTCCAGATTGGGTGCACAAATGATTGCATAAAACGTTGCGGATGCGGGATCTACAGAACACCAATGATTGTAGAACTAGGAAAAAACGAAAAACTAATTAAAAAACAAGTTCTGGAAATACCAACAAATGACTCATATCAGCCTTTGAACCACAGGACTGAGAAACCGTTCTGGATCACAAAAACCCACGCCGGCCGCCGGCCTTGTGCTGCCGGACCAACTGAGCAGGGCGTGCCACTTGTCCCGGCAGAAATCCTGCTGGAGGGATGACTTGACCCAGGGCGTCATCACTGCTCCGAATCCCTGCTGGGTAACCCTGTTGCAGAAGGCAGAACCAAGAGCTCATTGAGATTTGTTGCTAAACTCCTCCATTTCTTCCTGGTTGTGAATAACATATGAACTTCTGAAAAAAGCAACAAAAACCTGACACCTTTGCAATTACTTCAACTGTAGAAAACACGCACACATCAATATAGCAACCCCAAAAAGATAGAAAGTGAAATCCTTCTAAGATAGGTCAAATTCACGGTAGACTACTATCTTTTGGGGGTTGCCATATGCTGCTATGAACTAACAATCTTAATGACAATCAGTCATCCCAATACTTCATCTAATAAGCATCCCAACAATCCAAAAAACCATCCAATTGAATTGTTGATAATCGTCTACATCTTAACCATCTACCCTCTGGTAATTTTGCGGATGGAGAATGGTCCATGTATACATAGCTGATTACCTATTATTAGAAATGGTGATTTTTCATAGCAAACTGTTAGACTACCAGAAGGTATCCCAATATTTCCGGTTCAGTATATCCCCATCAATTTTTCCCACATCATTCTACTATATTTGAATCATCTAACAAGATCGAAAAACACAATTAATCATCTTAGATCAATCATTCTACATCTTAATCATCAAATACAGTTTTATTAGATGATAAATGATCTAATCGGGTAATCTAATATTATTAGATGATTCTGATTTGATATTATTACATTAACAATCCCATATCTACTGGACCTAATCTTCATAATCATCCCAATCATCGGGGAAAAAACTACATCTTAATCATCTAATCGATTCGATGTTCGATTCGATTTTCGATTCTAATGGATTCTAATAGATTATATTAAACCATATTAAAACCATATTAAAACCATATTAAAACCATATTAAACCATGGATTCTAGATGATAAAAACCATATGAAAACCATATGAAACACTATCAGCCGTCTCAGATCCCCATCGTCCTCCAGGCACCGCGGCCTCGGCCTCGGCGGCCTCGGCCTCGGCCACCTCCAGGCCGGTCTCGACGCGACGCCACTCCTGGATTCACGTGATGTTTCGACTGGGGGATTTCACGGTGGTTTTTCATGGCTGGTTGGTTAATATATGGTGATTATATGGTGATTATATGGTTAATGATAGTTAATAATAACCTGGTTGATCCTGGTTGGTGGTTGAGCCACCTACCCCTCTGAAAAATGATGGAGTTAGTGAGTTCGTCAGTTGGGATGATGAAATTCCCAACTGAATGGAAAGTCATAAAACATGTTCCAAACCACCAGCCAGATGGTGATTTAGTGGTGCTTCGACTGATATGACATCATATAGCCTCTGGTAATGACTAAGAGTTTGCTATTTTTCAAATGGCCCATAGTTCGTTGATTTACCTATTAAGGATGGTGATTTTCCATAGCAAGCTGTTAGTTTACCAGGTAATTCATAAATCCAAAACTCAAAACAAACTGGGCCATATTTGGGATTCTTTCATGCCAACATATGCCAACCTTTGTATGTGGTGGGTTTATGGATCGTTTCTTGTAGTTTGATAGTGGGCTTCATGGGCTGTTTAATGTGTTTTTCTTGGGAATTGTGCAGTCTGGTCAATGGGTACCTCACCCAACGTTGCCAAAGCATCTTTGGTATGGTCAAATGTCCAGAAGATTTTGGGGTTACCCTCTGGTAATTTAACATAGCTATTGAACATGGCCATTTATAGTGGTTTTTCCCACTAAAAATCGTGATTTTCCATAGTTTTTTGTATGTTTAGCAGAGGGTACCTTTTGAGATCACGCAGGATCTCCAACCTTTGGGATCTCAATTTCTCCAAATTCCGGAACGCCGAGGGACGCGAACGCTCTGCGCGGGCCGCTTTAAGGGATTGGCCTTGGCAACCAACAATCGACCGGCCAATGAGCAAATAACCTACAAACATGGCATACATGATCAATCATGATCATGTATGGATACTGCCC